CCCATAAGACTCCATGAGAGCCCATAGGAGCCCATAGGAAAGCAGGAGAGCCCATAGGAGCCCATGGGACCCCATAAGAGCCCATAGGAACACATGGGACCCATAGGAACACATGGGACCCCATAGGAACACATGGGACCCCATAAGAGCCCATAGGAACACATGGGACCCCATAGGAACACATGGGACCCCATAAGAGCCCATAGGAACACATGGGACCCCATAGGAACACATGGGACCCCATAAGAGCCCATAGGAACACATGGGACCCATAGGAACACATGGGACCCCATAGGAACACATGGGAACCCATAGGAACACATGGGACCCCAAAAGAGCCCATAGGAACACATGGGACCCATAGGAACACATGGGACCCATAGGAACACATGGGACCCCATAAGAGCCCATAGGAACACATGGGACCCCATAGGAACACATGGGACCCATAGGAACACATGGGACCCTATGAGACCCCATAGGACCCTATGAGAACGCATAAGACCCCATAAGACCCCATAAGACTCTATGAGACCCTATGAGACCCCATAAGACCCAATAAGACTCCATAGGACCCCATAGGACTCCCTGAGACCCTATGAGACCCCATAAGACCCCATAGGACCCCATAGGACCCCATAAGACCCATAGGGCCCCATAGGACCCCATAAGACCCTATGAGACCCCATAGGACCCCATAGGAAAGCATGAGACCCCATAGGACCCCATGGGACCCCATAGGACCCCATAAGACCCCATAGGACCCCATAGGACCCCGTGGGACCCCATAGAAGCTCATAGGACCCCATAGGACCCCATAAGACCCCATAGGACTCTATGAGACCCAATAAGACTCTATGAGACCCTATGAGACCCCATAGGACCCCATAGGACCCCCTAAGACCCCATAGGACCCCATAGGACCCCATAAGACCCCATCAGACCCCATAGGACCCCATGAGACCCCATAAGACCCCATAGGACCCCATAGGACCCCATAAGACCCTATGAGACCCCATAGGACCCCATAGGAACAGATGGGACCCTATGAGACCCCATGAGACCCCATAGGACCCCTTAAGACCCCATAGGAGCCTATGAGTCCCCATAAGACACAATAAGACCCCATAAGACCCCATAGGAACCCATAAGACCCTATGAGACCCCATAAGACCCCATAGGACCCCAAAAGACCCCATAGGACCCCATAGGACCCCATAAGACCCCATAGGACTCCATAGGACCCCATAAGAGCCCATAGGACCCCATAGGACCCCATAAGACCCCATAGGACCCCATAGGACCCCATAGGACCCCATAGGACCCCATAAGACCCCATAGGACCCCATAGGACCCCATAGGACCCCATAGGACCCCATAGGACCCCATAAGACCCCATAGGACCCCATAGGACCCCATAGGACCCCATAAGACCCCATAGGACCCCATAGCACCCCATAAGACCCCATAGGACCCCATAGGACCCCACAGGACCCCATAGGACCCCATAGGACCCCATAAGACCCCATAAGACCGCATAGGACCCCATAGGAACCCATAAGACCCCACAGCACCCCATAGGAGCCCATGGGAGCGCATAGAAGCTCCTAGGACCCCAAAGAACCCCTAAAGACCCCATAAGACTCCATGAGAGCCCATAGGAGCCCATAGGAAAGCATGAGAGCCCATAGGAGCCCATGGGACCCCATAAGAGCCCATAGGAACACATGGGACCCATAGGAACACATGGGACCCATAGGAACACATGGGACCCCATAGGAACACATGGGACCCCATAAGAGCCCATAGGAACACATGGGACCCCATAGGAACACATGGGACTCCATAGGAACACATGGGACCCCATAGGAGCACATGAGACCCCATAAGAGCCCATAGGAACACATGGGACCCATAGGAACACATGGGACCCATAGGAACACATGGGACCCCATAAGAGCCCATAGGAACACATGGGACCCATAGGAACACATGGGACCCATAGGAACACATGGGACCCCATAGGAACACATGGGACCCCATAGGAGCACATGGGACCCCATAGGAACACATGGGACCCCATAGGAGCCCATAGGAACACATGGGACCCCATAGGAGCCCATAGGAACACATGGGACCCATAGGAACACATGGGACCCATAGGAACAAATGGGACCCCATAGGAACACATGGGACCCCATAGGAGCCCATAGGAACACATGGGACCCATAGGAACACATGGGACCCATAGGAACAAATGGGACCCCATAGGAACACATGGGACCCATAGGAACACATGGGACCCCATAGGAACACATGGGACCCCATAGGAACACATAAGACCCCATAGGACCCCATAGGAAAACATGGGACCCTATGAGACCCCATAGGAGCCCATAAGACCCCATAGGACCCCATGAGACCCTATGAGACCCCATAGGACCCCATAAGAGCCCATAGGACCCCATAGGAACACATGAGACCCCATGAGACCCCATAAGAGCCCATAGGACCCCATAGGACCCCATAGGACCCCATAAGACCCCACAGGACCCCATAGGACCCCGTAGGACCCCACAGGACCCCATAAGACCCCATAGGACCCCATGAGACCCTATGAGACCCTATGACACCCCATAGGACCCCATAAGACCCCATATGACCCCATAGGACCCCATAAGACCCCATAGGACCCCATCAGACCCCATCAGACCCCATAAGACCCCATAGGACCCCATAAGACCCCATAGGAGCCCATCAGACCCCATCAGACCCCATAGGACCCCATAGGACCCCATAAGGAGGCAGGCAGAGCGCATGGGCTTTGCTGGGCCTTTTGGGATCAGAGGCGCACGAGGAAGGGGAGGCGCAGCGCAGGGGGGATGGGGACGGCGTGCAGGGGGACGCAGGACGGGTTGTAGGGGATGTGCAGCGGGGCGCAGCGCCGAGTGTCCAGCAGCAGCTCGCCGGGGTCGCCGCGATCCTTCAGGGTCGTCTGCAGGGGGGGAAAGGGGGCCGGAACCCCGTAAGAACCCATAGGAACCCATAAAACCCCATAGGAACTCATAGGAACCCATAGGAACCCATAGGAACCCATAAGACCCCATAAGACCCCATAGGAACCCATAGGAACCCATAAGACCCCATAAGACCCGATAGGAACCCATAAGACCCCATAGGAACCCATAGGAACCCATCAGACCCAATAGGAACCCATAGGAACCCATAAGACCCCATAGGAACCCATAGGAACCAATAAGACCCCATAAGACCCCATACGAACCCATAAGAGCCCATAGGGCCCCATACGAACCCATAGGAACCCATAAGACCCCATAGGACCCCATAGGAACCCATAGGAACCCATAAGACCCCATAGGAACCCATAAGACCCCAAAAGATCCCTTAGGAACCCATAAGACCCCATAAAACCTGATAGGAACCCATAAAAACCCGTAAGACCACATAGGGCCCCATAAGACCCCATGGGACCCCATAAGACCCCATCAGACCCCATAAGACCACATAGGGCCCCATAAGACCCCATAGGAACCCATAAGACCCCATAAGACCCCATAAGACCCCAAAGAACCCCATAGGAACCCATAAAACCCCATAGGGACCCATGAGACTCCATAAAACCCCATAGGAACCCATAAGACCCCATAGGAACCCATAAGACCCCATAAGACCCCATAGGACCCCATAGGAACCCATAGGAACCCATAAGACCCCATAGGACCCCATAGGAACCCATAGGACCCCATAGGAACCCATAGGAACCCATCAGACCCCATAGGAACCCATAGGAACCAATAAGACCCCATAGGAACTCATAGGAACCCAGAGGAACCCGTAAGACCCCATAGGAACACATAAGACCCCATAAAACCCCATAGGAACTCATAGGAACCCATCACACCCGATAGGAACCCATAGGAACCCATAGGAACCCATAAGACCCCATAGGACCCCATACGAACCCATAGGAACCAATAAGACCCCATAAGACCCCATACGAACCCATAAGAGCCCATAGGGCCCCATAAGACCCGATAGGAACCCATAAGACCTCATAGGAACCCATAGGACCCCATAAGACCCCATAGGACCCCATACGAACCCATAGGAACCCATAAGACCCCATAGGACCCCATAGAAACCCATAAGACCCCATAGAAACCCATAAGACCCCATAGGACCCCATAAGACCCCATAGAAACCCATCAGACCCCATAGGAACCCATAGGAACCCATAAGACCTCATAGGAACCCAAAAGACTCCATAAGACCCCATACATCCCATTAGACCCCATAAGATCCCATAGGAACCCATAAGACCCCAAAAGACCCCATAGGAACCCATAAGACCCCATAAGACTCCATAAAACCTGATAGGAACCCATAAAAACCCATAAGACCCCATAGGGACCCATAAGACCCCATAGGAACCCATAAAACCCGTAGGAACCCATAAGACCCCATAAAACCTGATAGGAACCCATAAAAACCTATAAGACCCCATAGGGACCCATAAGACCCCATAGGAACCCATAAAACCCGTAGGAACCCATAAGACCCCATAAGAGCCCATAGGAACCCATAAGACCCCATAAGACCCCATAGGACTCCATAAGTCCCCATAGCACCCCATAGGAAACCATAAAACCCGTAGGAACCCATAAGACCCCATAAAACGCCATAGGAAACCATCAGACCCCATAAGACCCCATAAAGCCCCATAAAAACCCATAGGAACCCAAAAGACCCCATAGGAACCCATAAGACCCCATAGGACCCCATAGGAACCCGTAAGACCCCAAAGGAACACATAAGACCCCATAGGGCACCATAGGAACCCATAAGACCCCATAGGACCACTAAACACCCTATGAGACCCCATAGGACCCCATAAGACCCCATAGGAACCCATAGGAACCCATATGAACCCATCAGACCCCATACATCCCATTAGACCCCATAAGATCCCATAAGACCCCGTAAAACCCCACAGGACCCCATAAGACCTCATAACATCCCATACATCCCATGAGACCCCATTGGGCCCCACAAAACCCCATAACACCCCATAGAAACCCATAAGACCCCATAAGACCCCATAGGACCACTTAACAACCTATGAGACCCCGTAGGACCCCATAAGACCCCATAGGAACCCATAGGAACCCATAGGAACCCATCAGACCCCAGACATCCCATTAGACCCCATAAGATCCCATAAGACCCCATAAAACCCCATAGCACCCCATAAGACCTCATAAGATCCCATACATCCCATGAGACCCCATTGGGCCCCACAAAACCCCATAAGACCCCATAGGAACACAAAGGAACCCATAGTAACCCATAGGAACCCAAAAGACCCCAAAAGACCCCATAGGAACCCATCAGACCCCATAAGGCCCCATAAGACCCCATAAAACCCCATAGGAACCCATAAGACCCCATAGGAACCCATAAGACCCCATAAGACTCCATAAAACCTGACAGGAACCCATAAAAACCCATAAGACCCCATAGGGCCCCATAAGACCCCATAGCACCCCATAAGACCCCATCAGACCCCATAAGACCCCATAGGCCCCATAAGACCCCATAGGAACACATAAGACCCCATAGGAACCCATAGGAACCCATAGGAACCCATAAGACCCCATAAGACCCCATAGGAACCCATAAGACCCCATAGGAACCCATCAGACCCCATAGGAACCCATAGGACCCCATAGGACCCCATAGGACCCCATAGGACATCATAGGAACCCATAGGAACCCATAGGAACCCATAAGACCCCATAGGAACCCAAAACACCCCATAAGACCCCATACATCCCATTACACCGCATAAGATCCCATAAGACCCCATAAAACCCCATAGCACCCCATAAGACCTCATAAGATCCCATACATCCCATGAGACCCCATTGGGCCCCAGAAAACCCCATAAGACCCCATAGAAACCCATAAGACCCCATAAGACCCCATAGGACCACTTAACAACCTATGAGACCCCGTAGGACCCCATAAGACCCCATAGGAACCCATAGGAACCCATAGGAACCCATCAGACCCCAGACATCCCATTAGACCCCATAAGATCCCATAAGACCCCATAAAACCCCATAGCACCCCATAAAACCTCATAAGATCCCATACATCCCATGAGACCCCATTGGGCCCCAGAAAACCCCATAAGACCCCATAGAAACCCATAAGACCCCATAAGAAACCATAGGACCACTTAACAACCTATGAGACCCCGTAGGACCCCATAAGACCCCATAGGAACCCATAAGACCCCAGAGGGCCCCATAAGACCCCATAAGACCCCATAAGACCCCATAGGACCCAATAAGACCTCATAAGATCCCATACATCCCATTAGACCCCATAAGATCCCATAAGACCCCATGAGACCCCATAAAACCTGATAGGAACCCATAAAAACCCATAGGAACCCATAAAAACCCATAAGACCCCATAGGGCCCCATAAGACCCCATAGGAACCCAAAAGACCCCATAGGAACCCATAATACCCCATAGGAACCCAAAAGACCCCATAGGAACCCATCAGACCCCATAAGACCCCATAGGAACCCATAAGACCCCATAGAAACCAATAAGACCCCATACATCCCATTAGACCCCATAAGATCCCATAGGAACCCATAAGACCCCAAAAGACCCCATAGGAACCCATAAGACCCCATAAGACCCCATAAAACCTGATAGGAACCCATAAAAACCCATAAGACCCCATAGGGACCCATAAGACCCCATAGGAACCCATAATACCCCATAGGAACCCAAAAGACCCCATAGGAACCCAAAAGACCCCATAAGACCCCATAGGAACCCATAAGACCCCATAGAAACCAATAAGACCCCATACATCCCATTAGACCCCATAAGATCCCATAGGAACCCATAAGACCCCAAAAGACCCCATAGGAACCCATAAGACCCCATAAGACCCCATAAAACCTGATAGGAACCCATAAAAACCCATAAGACCCCATAGGGCCCCATAAGACCCCATAGCACCCCATAAGACCCCATCAGACCCCATAAGACCCCATAGGGCCCCATAAGACCCCATAGGAACACATAAGATCCCATAGGAACCCAAAAGACCCCATAGGGCCCCATAAGACCCCATAGGGCACCATAGGAACCCGTAAGACCCCATAGGAACCCATAAGACCCCATAAGACCCCATAAAACCTGATAGGAACCCATAAAAACCCATAAGACCCCATAGGGCCCCATAAGACCCCAGAGGAACACATAAGACCGCATAGGAACCCATAGGAACCCATAAGACCCCATAGGGACCCATAGGAACCCATAAGACCCCATAGGACCCCATAGGAACCCATAGGAACCCGTAAAACCCCATAGGAACCCATAAGACCCCATAGGAACACATAAGACCGCATAGGAACCCATAGGAACCCATAAGACCCCATAGGGCCCCATAGAAACCCATAGGAACCCATCAAACCCCATAGGGCACCATAGGAACCCATAAGACCCCATAGGACCCCATAAGACCCCATAAAAACCCATAAGACCCCAAAAGACCCCATAGGACCCCATAGGACCCCATAGGACCCCATAAGACCCCATAGGACCCCATAAGACCCCATAGGACCCCATAGGGCCCCATAGGAACCCATAGGAACCCATAAGACCACATAGGACCCCATAGGAACCCATAGGAACCCATAAGACCCCATAAGACCCCATAAGACCCCATAAGACCCCATAAGATCCCATACAGCCCCATAAACCCCATAGGATCCCATAAAACCCCATAGGACCCCATAAGGCCCCATAGGACCCCATAAGACCCCATAAAGCCCCATAAGAACCCAATAGGACCCTATAAGACCCTATAAGCCCCCCTTGACCCTATAAGACCCCTGACCCTATAAGGCCCCTGACCCTATAAGACCCCTGACCCCATAAGACCCCATAGGAACCCATAAAACCCCATAGGAACCCTTAAGACCCCATAAGACCCCATAAGACACCATAAAACCCTATAAGACCCAATAAGACCCCATAAGATCCCATAGAGCCCCATAGAAACCCATAGGAACCCATAAGGCCCCATAGGACACCATAGGGCCCCATAAGACCCCATAGGACCCCATAGGACCCCATAAGACCCCATAAGACCCCATAAAGCCCCATAAGACCCCACAGGACCCCATAAGACCCCATAGGACCCCATAAGACCCCATAAAGCCCCATAAGACCCCATAAGACCCCATAAGACCCCATAAAGCCCCATAAAACCCCATAGGACCCCATAAGACCCCATAAAGCCCCATAAGAACCCAATAGGACCCTATAAGACCCTATAAGCCCCCCTTGACCCTATAAGGCCCCTGACCCCATAAGGCCCCTGACCCCATAAGACCCCCCTGACCTCATAACCCCCCTGACCCTATAAGGCCCCTGACCCCATAAAACCCCATAGGGCCCCATAAGACCCCAAAAACCCCATAGGAACCCATAAAACCCCATAGGAACCCATAGGGCCCCATAGAAACCCATAGGAACCCAAAAGACCCCATAGGACCCCATAGGGCCCCATAAGACCCCATAGGACCCCATAGGACCCCATAAAACCCCATAAGACCCAAAAAACCCCATAGGAACCCATAAGACCCCATAAGACGCCATAAAACCCTATAAGACCCCATAAGACCCCATAAGACCCCATAAAACCCCATAAGACCCCATAAAGCCCCATAAGAACCCAATAGGACCCTACAAGACCCTATAAGCCCCCCTTGACCCTATAAGGCCCCTGACCCTATAAGACCCCTGACCCCATAAGGCCTCTGACCCTATAAGACCCCTGACCCTATAAGACCCCATAGGGCCCCATAAGACCCCATAAAACCCCATAGGAACCCATAAGACCCCATAGGATCCCATAAAACCCCATAAAACCCTATAAGACCCCATAAGACCCCATAAGATCCCATACAGCCCCATAAACCCCATAGGATCCCATAAGACCCCATAGGACCCCATAGGGCCCCATAGGACCCCATAGGACCCCATAAGACCCCATAAGACCCCATAAAGCCCCATAAGACCCCATAAGATCCCATACAGCCCCATAAACCCCATAGGATCCCATAAGACCCCATAAGACCCCATAAGACCCCACAGGACCCCATAAAACCCCATAGGAACCCATAAGACCCCATAGGACCCCATAAGACCCCATAGGACCCCATAGGACCCCATAGGACCCCATAGGAACCCATAGGGCCCCATAGGACCCCATAGGACCCCATAGGACCCCATAGGACCCCATAAGAGCCCATAAGACCCCATAGGACCCCATAGGAACCCATAGGACCCCATAAGACCCCACAGGACCCCATAAGACCCCCTAAAGCCCCATAAGAACCCAATAGGCCCCTATAAGACCCTATAAGCCCCCCTTGACCCTATAAGACCCCCCTGACCCTATAAGACCCCCTGACCCCATAAGACCCCTGACCCCATAAGACCCCATAGGAACCCATAAAACCCCATAGGGCCCCATAAGACCCCATAAAACCCCATAAGAACCCATAAAACCCCATAGGAACCCTTAAGACCCCATAAGACCCCATAAGACGCCATAAAACCCTATAAGACCCCATAAGACCCCATAAGATCCCATAGAGCCCCATAAACCCCATAGGATCCCATAAGACCCCATAGGACACCATAGGGACCCATAAGACCCCAAAGAACCCCATAGGACCCCATAAAACCCCATAAGACCCCATAAGACTCCATAAAACCCCATAGGAACCCATAGGGCCCCATAGAAACCCATAGGAACCCAAAAGACCCCATAGGACCCCATAGGGCCCCATAAGAGCCCAAAGAACCCCATAGGACCCCATAGGACCCCATAGGACCCCATAGGAACCCATAGGACCCCATAAGACCCCATAAAACCCCATAAGACCCCACAGGACCCCATAAGGCCCTACAGGACCCCATAAAACCCCATAGGACCCGATAAGACCCCATAAAGCCCCATAAGAACCCAATAGGACCCTATAAGACCCTATAAGCCCCCCTTGACCCTATAAGACCCCTGACCCCATAAGACCCCATAAGACCCTATAAGGCCCCTGACCCTATAAGGCCCCTGACCCCATAAAACCCCACAGGGCCCCATAAGACCCCATAAAACCCCATAGGAACCCATAAAACCCCATAGGAACCCATAAGACCCCATAGGGCCCCATAGGACCCCATAGGAACCCATAGGACCCCATAAGACCCCATAAAACCCCATAGGACCCCATAAGACCCCATAGGACCCCATAGGACCCCATAAGACCCCATAAGACCCCATAGGACCCCATAAGACCCCATAAGACCCCATAAGACCCCATAGGACCCCATAGGACCCCATAAGACCCCATAAGACCCCATAGGACCCCATAAGACCCCATAAGACCCCATAGGACCCCATAGGACCCCATAAGACCCCATAAGAACCCAATAGGCCCCTATAAGACCCTATAAGCCCCCCCTGACCCCATAAGGCCTCTGACCCCATAAGACCCCCCTGACCCTATAAGACCCCTGACCCCATAAGACCCCATAGGGCCCCATAAGACCCCATAAAACCCCATAGGAACCCATAAGACCCCGTAAGACCCCATAAGACCCCATAAAACCCCATAAGAACGCAATAGGACCCTATAAGACCCTATAAGCCCCCCTTGACCCTATAAGACCCCTGACCCTATAAGACCCCTGACCCTATAAGACCCCATAGGGCCCCATAGGAACCCATAAGACCCCATAAGACCCCATAACACCCCATAGGAACCCATAAGACCCCATAAGAACCCCATAGGAACCCATAAGACCCCATAGGGCCCCATAAGACCCCATAAGACCCCATAGAGCCCCATAGAAACCCATAAGACCCCATAAAACCCCATAAAACCCCATAAGACCCCATAGGACCCCATAGGACCCCATAGGAACCCATAGGAACCCATAGGAACCCATAGGACCCCATAAGACCCCATAGGACCCCATAAAACCCCATAAGACCCCATAAGATCCCATAGAGCCCCATAAACCCCATAGGATCCCATAAGACTCCATAAGACCCCATAAAACCCCATAGGACCCCATAAGACCCCATAGGACCCCATAAGACCCCATAGGACCCCATAGGACCCCATGAGACCCCATAGGACCCCATAAGACCCCATAGGACCCCATAAGACCCCCTAAAGCCCCATAAGAAGCCAACAGGCCCCTATAAGACCCTATAAGCCCCCCCTGACCCCATAGTGCCTCTGCCCCCCCCAGGGCCCGCTCCCATCATGCACCTGGACGGTGCGGATGAAGGCGACGCTGACGCGCTCCTCAAAGTCGTCCAGCGGGGTGTAGAGGCTGAGCAGCTTCACCAGCTGCAAGGGATTGTGGGGGATTGGGGGGGTTATGGGGGAACCCAACAAGCCCCCATAGACCCCCATAGAACCCAACAGAGCCCCATAGCGCCCCATAGGACCCAATAGAACCCCATAGGACCCCATAGGACCCCCATAGAACCCCATAGACCCCCATAGAACCCAACAGAACCCCATAGAACCCAACAGAGCCCCATAGCGCCCCATAGGACCCAATAGAACCCCATAGGACCCCATAGGACCCCCATAGAACCCCATAGACCCCCATAGAACCCAACAGAACCCCACAGGGCCCCATAGAACCCCATAGAACCCAAGAGAACCTCATAGGGCCCCATAGAACCCCACAGGACCCCATAGACTACCATAGAAACCCAACAGGGCCCCATAGAACCCCATAGAACCCAACAGAACCCCCATAGAACCCCATAGGGCCCCATAGAACCCAATGGGACCCCATAGAACCCCATAGAACCCTATAGGCGCCCATAGAACCCTATAGGCCCCCATAGAACCCAACAGAACCCCATAGAACTCAATAGAACCCCATAGGGCCCCATAGAACCCAATAGAACCCCTTAGGGCCCCATAGAACCCCATAGGGCCCTACAGGCCCCCATAGAACCCCATAGAATCCAACAGGCCCCCATAGCACCCAACAGAACCCCATAGAACCCCATAGGGCCCCAAAGAACCCAACAGAACCCCATAGGGCCCCACAGAACCCCATAGGCCCCCATAGAACCATATAGGCCCCCATAGAACCCCATAGAACCCCATAGACCCCCATAGAACCCCATAGAACCCCCAAAGAACCCCCATAGAACCCCATAGACCCCCATAGAACCCAATAGGACCCCATAGGGCCCCACAGAACCCCATAGAACCCTATAGGCCCCCATAGAACCCAATAGGACCCCATAGGGCCCCAAAGAACCCCATAGGGCCCCAAAGAACCCCCATAGGACCCCATAGGGCCCCATAGAACCCCATAGAACCCAATAGAACCCCATTGGCCCCCATAGAACCCCAGAGAACCCAATAGGACCCCATAGGGCCCCATAGAACCCCACAGGACCCCATAGACTACCATAGAAACCCAACAGGGCCCCATAGAACCCAACAGAACCCCCATAGAAGCCAATAGAACCCCATAGGGCCCCAAAGAACCCAACAGAACCCCATAGAACCCCATAGAACCCAAGAGAACCCCATAGGGCCCCAAAGAACCCAACAGAAGCCCATAGGGCCCCATAGAACCCCATAGAACCCAACAGAACCCCAACAGAACCCCATAGGGCCCCATAGAACCCCATAGAACCCAACAGAACCCCCATAGAACCCAATAGAACCCCATAGGGCCCCATAGAACCCAACAGAACCCCATAGAACCCTACAGGCCCCCATAGAACCCCATAGAACCCCATAGGCCCCCATTGGACCCGACAGAACCCCCATAGAACCCAATAGGACCCCATAGAAACCCCATAGAACCCAACAGGACACCAGAGAACCCCATAGAACCCCATAGACCCCTATAGGCCCCCATAGAACCCAACAGAACCCCATAGAACCCAATAGGACCCCACAGAGCCCCATAGAACCCCATAGGCCCCCATAGAACCCAACAGAACCCAACAGAACCCAACAGGCCCCCATAGAACCCAATAGGACCCCATAAAACCCCCATAGAACCCCACCCCATAGACCCCCATAGAACCCAATAGGACCCCATAGGGCCCCATAGAACCCCATAGGACCCCATAGGGCCCCATAGAACCCCATAGAACCCCATAGAACCCAATAGAACCCCCAAAGAACCCAACAGAACCCCCATAGGGCCCCATAGAACCCCATAGGCCCCCATAGGGCCCCATAGAACCCAATAGAACCCCATAGGGCCCCATAGAACCCCATAGGCCCCCATAGAACCCAATAGGACCCCACAGAACCCAATAGGGCCCCATAGAACCCAATAGAACCCCATAGGGCCCCATAGAACCCAATAGGCCCCCATAGAACCCAATAGAACCCCATAGGGCCCCATAGGGCCCCATAGGGCCCTACAGGCCCCCATAGAACCCCATAGAACCCTATAGGCCCCCATAGAACCCAATAGGACCCCATAGGGCCCCAAAGAACCCCATAGGGCCCCAAAGAACCCCCATAGGACCCCATAGAACCCAATAGGACCCCATAGGGCCCCATAGAACCCCATAGGCCCCCATAGAACCCAATAGGACCCCATAGGGCCCCATAGAACCCCATAGGCCCCCACAGACCCCCCTAGAACCCAACAGAACCCCATAGAACCCCATAGGCCCCATAGATCCCCATAGAACCCCATAGGGCCCCAAAGAACCCAACAGGCCCCCATTGGACCCCACAGAACCCCCATAGAACCCAATAAAACCCCACAGGCCCCCATAGAACCCCATAGAACCCCATAGGGCTCTAAAGGCCCCCACAGAGCCCCATATGGCCCCATAGAACCCCATAGAACCCTACAGGCCCCCATAGAACCCAATAGAACCCCATAGGGCCCCATAGAACCCCAAAGGCCCCGATAGGGCCCCATAGAACCCCATAGGGCCCCATAGAACCCCATAGAGCCCCCATAGAACCCTATGGGATCCCATAGAGCCCCATAGAACCCAATAGAACCCCCATAGAACCCAATAGGACCCCATAGACCCCATAGAACCCCATAGGCCCCCATAGGGCCCCATAGAACCCAATAGAACCCCATAGGGCCCCATAGAACCCCCATAGAACCCCCATAGAACCCCCATAGAACCCCATAGAACCCAACAGAACCCCCATAGAACCCCATAGGCCCCATAGAACCCCATAGAACCCCATAGGGCCCCATAGAACCTCATAGGGCCCCAAAGAACCCAACAGGCCCCCACAGAACCCCCATAGGACCCCATAGAATCCAACAGAACCCCATAGAACCCCATAGGCCCCCATTGGACCCCACAGAACCCCATAGAACCCAATAGGACCCCATAGAACCCCATAGGACCCCATAGGCCCCCATAGAACCCAACAGGACCCCATAGGGCCCCATAGAACCCCATAGGGCCCTACAGGCCCCCATAGAACCCAATAGGACCCCATAGAACCCAATAGGCCCCCACAGAACCCCATAGAACCCCATAGGCCCCCATAGAACCCCCATAGAACCCCATAGAACCCAACAGAACCCCATAGAACCCCATAGAACCCAAGAGAACCCGATAGGGCCCCATAGAACCTCATAAAACCCCATAGCGCCCCACAGAACCCAAGAGAACCCCATAGAACCCAATAGGACCCCATAGAACCCCATAGGCCCCCATTGGACCCCACAGAACCCCCATAGAACCCAATAGGACCCCATAGAACCCCCATAGACCCCTATAGGCCCCCATAGAACCCCATAGGGCCCCATAGAACCCCATAGAACCCTATAGGCCCCCATAGAACCCAACAGAACCCCATAGAACCCAATAGGACCCCATAGGGCCCCATAGAACCCAACAGGCCCCCATTGGACCCCACAGAACCCCCATAGAACCCAATAGGACCCCATAGAGCCCCATAGAACTCCATAGGCCCCCATAGAACCCAATAGGACCCCATATGGCCCTATAGAACCCCATAGACCCCCATAGAACCCCATAGGCCCCCATAGGCCCCCATAGAACCCCATAGGACCCCATAGGGCCCCATAGAACCCCATAGAACCCAACAGAACCCCACTGGCCCCCATAGAACCCAACAGGACCCCATAGGGCCCCATAGAACCCCATAGGGCCCTACAGGCCCCCATAGAACCCAATAGGACCCCATAGAACCCCATAGGGCCCCATAGAACCCCATAGAACCCCATAGACCCCTATAGGCCCCCATAGAACCCAACAGAACCCCATAGAACCCAATAGGACCCCATAGGGCCCCATAGAACCCCATAGGCCCCCATAGAACCCAACAGAACCCAACAGAACCCAACAGGCCCCCATAGAACCCCATAGGACCCCATAGAACCCCATAAGGCCCCATAGAACCCCACAGAACCCCCATAGAACCCAATAGAACCCTATAGGCCCCCATAGAACCCCATAGGCCCCCATTGGACCCCACAGAACCCCCATAGAACCCAATAGGACCCCATAGAACCCAACAGGACCCCATAGAACCCCATAGAACCCCATAGACCCCTATAGGCCCCCATAGAACCCAACAGAACCCCATAGAACCCAATAGGACCCCACAGAACCCCATAGAACCCAACAGAACCCCCATAGAACCCCATAGAACCCCATAGGCCCCCATAGAACTCAACAGAACCCCATAGAACCCCATAGAACTCAATAGGACCCCATAGGCCCCCATAGAACCCAATAGGACCCCATAGAACCCCATAGGACCCCATAGGGCCCCATAGAACCCCATAGAACTCAATAGGACCCCATAGGCCCCCATAGAACCCCATAGGCCCCCATGGAACCCCATAGGCCCCCATTCAAGAGCGCCACCTGCTGGCAGCTGAGCGCAGTGCAGTGGCTGCAGATGGCCTGGGCGTCCTGCTGGCTCTTCTTGTTGAGCTGCAGCAGCTGGGCGGCCTGGATCAAAGGCTGCAGGGCCTGCAGGGCCCCGCTGTGCTGCAGCTTCCGCCTGTGCAGCCACTCCTCCAGCTGGCTGATGTTGAACCTGGGACGAGGGGGGGGGAAAAGGGGGTTAGGGGGGATCTATGGGGTCCTATGGGGGTCCTATGGGGTCCTATGGGGGCCTAATGGGGTCCTATGGGGTGCTATGGGGGGCTAATGGGGATCTATGGGGTCCTATGGGGGTCCTATGGGGTGCTATGGGGTCGTATGGGGGCCTAATGGGGATCTATGGGGTACTATGGGGACTTATGGGGATCTATGGGGTCCTATGGGGGTCCTATGGGGTGCTATGGGGGCCCTATGGGGCCTTTATGGGGATCTATGGGGTCCTATGGGGGCCTAATGGGGTCCTATGGGGTGCTATGGGGTTCTAATGGGGATCTATGGGGGCCCTATGGGGTCCTAATGAGGTCCTATGGGGTCCTATGGGGTGCTATGGGGTTCTAATGGGGATCTATGGGGTCCTATGGGGTCCTATGGGGGTCCTATGGGGGCCTATGGGGGCCTAATGAGGTCCTATGGGGTCCTATGGGGATCTATGGGGTCCTAATGGGGATCTATGGGGTCCTATGAGGGCCTATGGGGTCCTATGGGGGCCCTATGGGGCCTTTATGGGGATCTATGGGGTCCTATGGGGGCCTAATGGGGGCCTATGGGGTGCTATGGGGTTCTAATGGGGATCTATGGGGTCCTATGGGGGTCCTATGGGGTGCTATGCGGTCCTAATGGGGATCTATGGGGTCCTATGGGGGTCTTATGGGGGCCTAATGGGGTTCCAAGGGGATTATGGGGTGCTATGGGGTGTTAAGGGGGACTAATGGGGTCCTATGGGGGTCCTATGGGGGTCCCATGGGGCCCTAATGGGGATCTATGGGGTCCTATGGGGGTCCTATGGGGGCCTAATGGGGTTTCAAGGGGACTATGGGGTGCTATGGGGTGTTATGGGGGTCCTATGGGGGCCCAATGGGGTTCCAAGGGGACTATGGGGTGCCATGGGGTTCTGATGGGGATCTATGGGGTCCTATGGGGGTTCTAATGGGGATCTATGGGGTCCTATGGGGTGCTATGGGGGCCTAATGGGGATCTATGGGGCCCTATGGGGCCCTAATGGGGTCCTATGGGGGTCCTATGGGGTGCTGTGGGGTCCTAATGGGGATGCATGGGGTCCTATGGGGGCCTATGGGGCCTTTATGGGGTGCTATGGGGTCCTATGGGGGCCCAATGGGGTTCCAAAGGGATTATGGGGTGCTATGGGGTCGTATGGGGGCCTAATGGGGTCTATGGGGTCCTATGGGGGCCCTATGGGGTCCTAATGAGGTCCTCTGGGGTGCTATGGGGTTCTAATGGGGTCCTATGGGGTCCTATGGGGTCCTATGGGGTGCTTTGGGGGCCCAATGGGGATCTATGGGGACCTACGGGGGTCCTATGGGGGCCTAATGGGGTTCCAAGGGGGACTATGGGGTCCTATGGGGTCCTATGGGGGTCCTATGGGGTGCTATTGGGCCTTTATGGGGGTCCTCTGGGGTCCTATAGGGTCCTATGGGGGCTTATGGGGGCCTAATGGGGTCCTATGGGGGTCCTATGGGGTGCTATGCGGTCCTAATGGGGATCTATGGGGTCCTATGGGGGTCTTATGGGGGCCTAATGGGGTTCCAAGGGGATTATGGGGTGCTATGGGGTCGTATGGGGTCCTATGGGGGTCCGATGGGGTGCTATGGGGTCCTAATGGGGATCTATGGGGTCCTATGAGGGCCTATGGGGTCCTATGGGGTCTTATGGGGCCCTATGGGGGCCTATGGGGTCCTATGGGGGCCTAATGGGGATCTATGGGGTCCTATGGGGGTCCTATGGGGGCCTAATGGGGTTCCAAGGGGGACTATGGGGTCCTATGGGGTGCTATGGGGTCTTATGGGGATCTATGGGGTCGTATGGGGGCCTAATGGGGTCCTATGGGGTGCTATGGGGTTCTAATGGGGATCTATGGGGTCCTATGGGGGTCCTATGGGGTGCTATGGGGTCCTATGGGGGCCTATGGGGCTCTATGGGGTTTTAAGGGGGTGCTATGAGGCCCTAATGGCGATCTATGGGATCCTATGGGGTCCTATGGGGGCCTAATGGGGGTGCTATGGGGTCCTATGGGGATCTATGGGGTTCTAATGGGGATCTATGGGGTCCTATGGGGTCATATGGGGGTCCTATGGGGGCCTATGGGGCCTTTATGGGGATCTATGGGGTCCTATGGGGGCCTAATGGGGTCCTATGGGGTGCTATGGGGTCCTATGGGGATCTATGGGGTCCTAATGGGGATCTATGGGGTCCTATGAGGGCCTATGGGGTCCTATGGGGGCCTAATGGGGCCTTTATGGGGTGCTATGGGGTCCTATGGGGGCCTAATGGGGATCTATGGGGTGCTATGGGGTCTTATGGGGATCTATGGGGGTCCTATGGGGTCATATGGGGGCCTAATGGGGTCCTATGGGGTCCTATGGGGTGCTATGGGGTTCTAATGGGGACCTATGGGGTCCTATGCGGGTCCTATGGGGGCCTAATGGGGACCTATGGGGGCCTAATGGGGTCCTATGGGGGCCTAATGCGGATCTATGGGGTGCTATGGGGTCTTATGGGAGTCCTATGGGGCCTTTATGGGGTTCTATGGGGTCCTATGGGGGCCTAATGGGGTTCCAAGGGGATTATGGGGCCCTATGGGGTCTTATGGGGGCCTAAAGGGGTCCTATGGGGGGCTAATGGGGATCTATGGGGTGCTATGGGGTCTTATGGGGTGCTATGGGGTCCTATGGGGGTCCTATGGGGGCCCAATGAGGTTCCAAGGGAATATGGGGTGCTATGGGGTCCTATGGGGCCTTTATGGGGGTCTAATGGGGTTCCAAGGAGACTATGGGGTCCTATGGGGGTCCTATGGGGGTCTAATGGGGTTCCAAGGGGATTATGGGGATCTATGGGGTGCTATGGGGTCCTATGGGGGTCCTATGGGGTGCTATGGGGGCCTAATGGGGATCTATGGGGTGCTATGGGGGCTTATGGGGATCTATGGGGTGCTATGGGGGCCTAATGGGGTTCCAAGGGGACTACGGGGTCCTATGTGGTCTTATGGGGGTGCTATGGGGTCCTATGGGGGTCCCATGGGGCCCTAATGGCGATCTATGAGGTCCTATGGGGGTCCTATGGGGGCCTAATGGGGGCCTAATGGCGTTCCAAGGGTCCTATGGGGTCTTATAGGGCCTTTATGGGGTGCTATGGGGTCCTATGGGGGCCTAAAGGGGTCCTATGGGGCCTTTATGGGGTCCTATGGGGTCCTAATGGGGATCTATGGGGTCCTATGGGTGTCCTATGGGGGTCCTATGGGGGCCTAATGGGGTCCTATGGGGTGCTATGGGGTCCTATGAGGGCCTATGGGGTCCTATGGGGGCCTAATGGGGATCTATGGGGTCCTATGGGGGTCTTATGGGGTGCTATGGGGGCCTAATGGGGATCTATGGAGTGCTATGGGGTCTTTATGGGGGTGCTATGGGGTCCTATGGGGCCTTTATGGGGGTCTAATGGGGTTCCAAGGGGATTATGGGGTGCTATGGGGTGCTATGGGGTCCTATGGGGGTCCTATGGGGGCCTATGGGGGCCTAATGGGGTCCTATGGGGTGCTATGGGGTTCTAATGGGGATCTATGGGGTCCTATGGGGGTCCTATGGGGTGCTATGGGGTCCTATGGGGGCCTATGGGGCTCTATGGGGTCTTAAGGGGGTGCTATGAGGCCCTAATGGCGATCTATGGGATCCTATGGGGTCCTATGGGGGCCTAATGGGGTTCCAAGGGGACTATGGGGTACTATGGGGTCTTATGGGGGTCCTATGGGGCCTTTATAGGGTGCTATGGGGTTCTATGGGGGCCCAATGGGGATCTATGGGGACCTACGGGGGTCCTATGGGGGTCTATGGGGGCCTAATGGGGATCTATGGGGTCCTATGGGGGTCCTATGGGGTCCTATGGGGGCCCTATGGGGCCTTTATGGGGATCTATGGGGTCCTATGGGGGCCTAATGGGGTCCTATGGGGTGCTATGGGTTCTAATGGGGATCTATGGGGTCCTATGGGGTCCTATGGGGGTCCTATGGGGGCTCAATGGGGTCCTATGGGGGCCTAATGGGGTTCCAAGGGGGACTATGGGGTCCTATGGGGTCCTATGGGGGTCCTATGGGGTGCTATTGGGCCTTTATGGGGGTCCTCTGGGGTCCTATAGGGTCCTATGGGGGCTTATGGGGGCCTAATGGGGTCCTATGGGGGTCCTATGGGGTGCTATGGGGCCTTTATGGGGTGCTATGGGGTCCTATGGGGCCTTTATGGGGGTCTAATGGGGTTCCAAGGGGATTATGGGGGCCTTTATGGGGTGCTATGGGGTCTTATGGGGTGCTATGGGGTCCTATGGGGGTCCTATGGGGGCCCAATGAGGTTCCAAGGGAATATGGGGTGCTATGGGGTCCTATGGGGCCTTTATGGGGGTCTAATGGGGTTCCAAGGGGACTATGGGGTCCTATGGGGGTCCTATGGGGGTCTAATGGGGTTCCAAGGGGATTATGGGGATCTATGGGGTCCTATGGGGTCCTATGGGGGTCCTATGGGGTGCTATGGGGGCCTAATGGGGATCTATGGGGGCCTATGGGGGCTTATGGGGATCTATGGGGTCCTATGGGGGCCTAATGGGGTTCCAAGGGGACTATGGGGTCCTATGTGGTCTTATGGGGGTGCTATGGGGTCCTATGGGGATCTATGGGGGCCTAATGGGGGCCTATGGGGTGCTATGGGGTTCTAATGGGGATCTATGGGGTCCTATGGGGGTCCTATGGGGTGCTATGGGGTCCTATGGGGGCCTAATGGGGATCTATGGGGTACTATGGGGACTTATGGGGATCTATGGGGTCGTATGGGGGCCTAATGGGGTCCTATGGGGGCCCTATGGGGTCCTAATGAGGTCCTATGGGGTCCTATGGGGTGCTATGGGGTTCTAATGGGGATCTATGGGGTCCTATGGGGG